GAAATAAAACAAGATTATCCACAACCTTTTCACTGTAAATACTGTACCACACTATTTTTTTGTTTTTATCTTTTTATCTTTGAGGTCAATTGTGTACATAACCCTAAAGACCTGTGTACTTATGAATTTCTGTACATAAATCTTTGGGCGCGGTTTCCCCTACTCTTTATTATATCAGGGGAGATGTTGTCTACAACATCTGGAGTAACAAATTCTGCTCATATGAGGAACATTCTGATAAACAATGTCTCATCCTTTCTCATACTATAATTTATTTGTCACATTTTGCCAACTAGGTCCTATCTGCCAGTGGTAAAGTAATACATTTTTTGCTAATCATAGGTCCTATCCGCCGGTGACAAAGTAATACATTTTTTGCTAATCATAGCAATATTTGTGAGCCATAATATTTTAATTTACAGTATATACTTTGTGAGCCATAAAAATCACATTCGTCCATTCATCTATCCATTTTACAGTTATCTACCATCTTCCGTGCTATACCTATGCGTTTGTCCCCAGGAGACTGGCTAAAGTGAGGCTTTAATTATTTTCTTTGCAAGAATGACTTACTTCTCAGAATTAAACCATCTTCACACCATCAGTATGGTATCTCAGCACAGCACACAATATTAAGAGGGAGGCAACCGGTTCTAAACATTAAACCATCCATTAAATACTTTGCAAATGATTCTGTACAGCAAAGGTTTATTGGAAATGTAGTTCAGAGCCCAGCAACAGTTGTGACGAGCTGAATGCAGCCATACCATGGCCACTATCAGCCTATTTATAGCTACATTAAAGGAGCACTATAGTCACCAAAACAACTTTAGCTTAATGAAGCAGTTTTGGTGTATATATTATGTCCCTGCAGTCTCACTGCTCAATTCTTTGCCATTTAGGAGTTAAATCACTTTGTTTATGAACCCTAGTCACACCTCCCTGCATGTGAATTGCACAGGCTTCCTAAACATTTACTGTAAAGAGTCATCTAATGTTTATCCTTCCTTTATTGCAAGTTCTGTTTAATTAAGATTTTCTTATCCCCTGCTATATTAATAGCTTGCTAGAACCTGCAAGAGTCTCCTGTATGTGATTAAAGTTCAATTTACAGAGCAAGAGATAAAATTGTTTAAGGTAAATTACATATGATTGAAAGTGAAACCAGTTTTTTTTCATGCAGTCTGTGTCAATCAGAGGTGTGACAAGGGCTGCGTAAACAAAAACAAAGTGATTTAACTCCTAAATGGCAGTGAATTGAGCAGTGAAACCTGAGAGGCATGAGCTATACACTAAAACTGCTTCATTAAGCTGAAGTTGTTTAGGTGACTATAGTGTCCCTTTAACAATTGTGGGACACAACATACGTTCAAACCAACCAACAAACAGACGGGCACACATCCACAGCTCACACTTGCTTCTGGAAACGGTTTCAACACGGATCAATCAGACCTATAGTAAACCTGTCTTCATTCTTCAGAGCCACTGGTGGCTCTAATCATGCTCTCTCTAGGATTATATGAGTTCTATCTATGGTTTGTTCTTCCTTGTCGTGGTTTTAGTTGCCCACAAATGTTCTGATTGTCTGGTTTTGACGACTCGGCTTATTATTCTTGTTGATTCTGACTTGTGTGATCCTTGACCCTAGCCTGTTTCTTGTCTGTGTCATCTTTGACCTCCCCGTTTATGCTTAGTCTGAGTGCAGATTGTCTCCTAAACTTTTTCATATTAAGCCTGTCCATTTTAAGGTCTGTAATACATTACCTTCCAATGTTTGCCCTTGGTTTGCGTGTTGGGATATACTCACAATTTCTCTTTGGCGGCAGAGGGAAAAGAGACAGGTTTATAGCTAAAACAACATTTGAACATCACTGCAGTTCTATGTAACTGTGTGCAAAGAGACAGGGACAGCGGAACATAAGCTATTAACGATGTATCAGCTACAAAGGCCATCGTACGTGACATTCCTAGCTAGCTTCATAGTTTGAGTCCATAGAGGATGGGTAGGCAACCTTCCACACTTCAGATGTTGTGAACTACATCTCCCATTATGCTCTCACAGCCATAATGCTGGCAAAGCATCAGGGGAAATGTAGTCCATAACATCTGGAGTGCCTACCCCTACTATAGAGAATGTAGTACCCTGTAAATTATCAAAGGAATTTTTCCATTCTTCCTTTGAAATGCTTCTTCAGGATGTTTTGTAGGTCCATGTCTATCGACTTGAATGGGTAATTGTAGCACGGTGTCGTTGCATAAGGATATGCCGCCCCCTGGTGCTAATATGATCATGGGCTTGAGATATCAAAGGGGCATAACTGCCATTTAAACGGAGCATAATAGATCACAGTGAAAGAAATGTCGAAGAAAATTAGGTCCTGAAATGAACGGCATTTGTCTTTGGTGGCCAGTTCTGCAGACTTTTTGGAAATTTTGCTCTAGTTAAGCTTTCAAGGTGTATCTAATAAAACAGGCTACACAGGGAAATTTCTAAATGTGAAAATGCCATATGAGCAAGGAATAGCAGGAGGTAGGTAACAGTGGTATAAAAGAGGAGCTTTCTGGAATGAAGGTTTTAATATGTTGCTTCAAGTATTTAAAATCCTCTACATCTTCCTAAATAGAAGTCAACAGAAAAAAAATCTGTGAGTTCATTTTTATAGCCACAACGCAACCCAACCAGAACTAGTAATTCCTCCACTTTAGTATATTGTACTGTCTCTTCATTTTAAACCCAATTTTCAAGTTATCCAATAATTTAATATGTTTAGGAAATTTCAGACCCAGTTGAAGATATGGTTTTCCTTCCACTCATATCAAAATAATCGTACTAGGTTGTCAACTATATCCTTTGGTATGTCCATGGGTAGTGAGTAGTGATGTCGCGAACGGTTCGCCGCGGACTCATCATTGAGTAAACTTTGACCCTGTACCTCACAGTCAGCAGACACATTCCAGCCAATCAGCAGCAGACCCTCCATCCCAGACCCTCCCACCTCCTGGACAGCATCCATTTTACATTCATTGTGAAGCTGCATTCTTAGTGAGTTGTCCAGGAGGTGGGAGGGTCTGGGAGGGAGGGTCTGCTGCTGATTGGCTGGAATGTGTCTGCTGACTGTGAGGTACAATGTTTACTCAATGTTGAGTCCGTGGCGAACTGTTCGTGGTGAACCGTTCGGCGAACCGTTCGGGACATCACTAGTAGTGAGACTTGAAAAGGTTAACTGTGTGGTCAGAGATATTTTTAAATTGTGGAAGAAACTCTTGTAAATTTTGAAGAGACACATCGGGTCAGTTAATGACAGCATTATATTGTTAGAAAAAAGGCCTAAGGTGCAACTTTGATTTTCCTATCTACAACCCTTACGGGGTACATTCAAGATCTTAAATGTTTGAGATTTAAAGTATGAGGAGAAAAACACTATAGATAGACATGAACAAAGTGATATGACACTAATGAACTTAGAAGAAAGATGTAAACACCTTCCACATATGACCCCAGTGAACCCTTGCTGAAGCCTTCTCGGCATCCAGGGACAACAGAAGCCAAGGGTTGAAAAAGCTTGTAAATGAAGCCCGTAGACTTTATATGCTATTTTTTTTATTGCTCTTATTTACTGCTATGCACTTTAAATTCAGGGATCTGGCTTTTTAAAATTTTTAAAAATATATATTTTTATTTAAATGCCCTATGGGGCAATACATGCCTTTGGATTTTAATTAGCTCGGGAGTTCTTATTTTGGATTTTGCTAAGGGTTGTTGGTTGTTATGCCTTTGGTTTAAATTAGATTAATGATCTTGATGGTCCTATGGTTGACGATGTGGGACAAAACCTGCTTGGTCTGACGAGACATGGAATGAGCAGTATTATAAATGTCTTGTAATAATTACCAGGGAAACCATCAGCCTCTCAGGACTTTGGCTTCATTCCCGTTATCAATTTCTCGTGTGGCAAATCTTTTGAAAACTAAAGGCAGTCGGTTGATTAACTGATTAACTGAGGCATTGCTCTGTTGAGATTGTAGTGTCTTAACTGGGTTTGGGAACATTAAACTCTCCACAAATTAATGACTGGCTTCCTTGACCTAAACTTTGGAAAACTACTTTAGGAAGTCCAACTGACCTTTATTAAGTGCCTAGTGCTTCACTATAATGTAAACGTATTGTTGTTGAAAGAGCAGTTGAATAGGAAGTATTGCATGGAAGGTGTGAAGAAGGGAATAAAAGAAAATAGAGAGGAGAGCAATGAAAACAATAGTCATGCTGGAACATGGACTATCTTGCAACCTAGCGGAATAGGAACATGGGGGTGATCAGCCACCGAGATAACTCCTGGAACCACCACCGCAAACTCATCAACAACTTGACATAAAACGGTGGAATGTAGAACTTTAATGGCATTGGCTTTTGTAGTGGAGTAGTTCAATGCACCGGAGCAGGTACACCTCTCAATTTGCATCTAAGGAAAAGGCCAAAGTTAAAAATAATAAAGGCAATGAAGTTAATAAGACTATTTTAAGAACAACAAATGAGAAGTATGTACAGTTCAGTAGCCAGGATAGAAGGATACACTAGTAGTGTCCAAAGAATTGTACCAAGGAAGTTTGAATGGATGTAAGGCAAAATAGCAGGCAATAGAGGTAAAGTATAATTGGGACAAAGAAGACTAGAGGTGCAGATTCAAAAGGGGGGCAGTATTAACAGGTTTTGACAGACAGGGCTGCAGATTCAGGGTGTAAGCTGACTAATCAGTGAGTCCTCTGGGGTAGATGGTTAATGGCACAGTAAAAAGTAGTTGGTAGGGGGGAGGAGCTACAGGCCACCTGTGAAGACGTGTCCAGCACGAGCTCCGAGCAAAATCGGACAAAAAACCTCTAAATATTGTCGAAGACGACGACAAAAGCTCCCACCTCAGGGCAACACAATGGGGAAATGCTCACAAAAAAGCAAAATACCTCAGGATGTGGTTCCCCGAGGAGCACCGCGTGCAGCAGCCAAGATGGCCGACGCCATAGGACAGACCTCATCCGAAGAGGAGCTGTCCATGGATACCTTCGACGAGCTTCCTCAGAGGGGAGGCTTACATCACACTTCCTCAGAAGAAGAGGATGACAGACCAGCTACCAAGAGGGACAACAAGTCCCTACATAAGGACATACGATCCCTAATCCAAGCAGACCTGGCGATAATCCGGGAAGACATACACTCCCTCACAGGCAGAGTCAAACTGACAGAGGAAGAGGTCTCGGGCCTACTCACCTCACAAACCGCAATGCAAGAGGCACAAGCAACAACTAGCCGGGCTCAGGAAAGTCTGGCAGCGAAGATGGCGGACCTAGAAGACAAAAGCCTTGTGTCCTCCCTGGACAAAATGGCGATACTAGCAGCGGTACGGGACTCAGCCTGCGACTTCAAATCACGCATGCTCTCCTTTTATTCCGACCTGTCTCGGGCCACCTTAATGTGGAGACGCTCCATGCGCCCTGTCACCGGTGTCTTACAGAGACATGGCATCCCCTCCAGATGGGGCAACCCCTGCTCACTTCAAGTTACCAAAGAAGGAATGCTACATCACATCACCGAAGCTGCAGAATTTCGTAGCTTCCCCTGACCGAACACCCGCATCGACCCCCTCCGCAGGCACACCGCTGGGATATGGAGAAGATACAACCCTTCTAAGGACCGGCAGCGTGGAGCTAACACCACCTACCTAGCACATACCCAATAGACACCAGGTACAAACCAAACCCTGAGGTTAGCACCTCTAAAATAGCTTAACCATTACCCCCCACAACTGAACAGCGGCTAAATAGCCAAACAGCTGGGCGAACCAAACATCCGCAGCAGGCTTCAAAGCTTTAAACAGCTGCCCCGCCACCGCATAGACCCAGACCCGAAACACAGCATCATAATATACGCAGAACTAGGACTACCACAAGTCAAGTCCAACATGCCACCAACAACCAGCCCAAGCACGAGCAAGACATGCTCAATCCACCATGCACTACTAACGCTTAAAGGACGCCAACGCCAAGCCAAAGGCGGGCTCCACATACCACGGCTCTTACATACAACAATGGACCGCAAACACTCTAGCCTAGTCCATATTTATCATACCGAGACCAGGACCGGTTACTCGCAATATTCCCAGTTTACACTACACCCCAAATAGCCCCCACCAAGCTATCGCAAAGCTACTACACAAACCCTCCAGCCCAGGTAGGCTGACCCCCCAATATGTGAACAGACAAAACACACCTACACATTGCCAAAGCTCCAACAGCAACCATGCTGTCTCCTGACAAGCATGTTTACCCTCCATGCAGCCATATTGTTAATGTTTACCTTTTATTATACTACAAAAAGTGCAGTGCTTAGGCATTTAATGTTAATGCTATACAAACGTGTTCTCAAAATGTCCAGAAAAATGCCAATGTATACCTGTTTGACATGCCAAGCAGAAATAAAATAAAGAATTACAAAAAAAAGTAGTTGGTCGTAGGCCTGTAGCTTAAAGGAACACCAATGGAATTTAGTTTATTTTTTACAAAATAATTTTATAGATATACCCCAAATGGAAACATGCTAGCATTTGGTTAATTGGCAAAATTGGTTAATTTAGAAAATGTGTCAGTTTCTTTTGAAATCTGCACTTATTGTAAAATAATTAAAAAAAAGAGGACACACTCTTTTGCAATATTTTTAAATTAAATTTCAGCTTTTAACTTATTTGTACTAACTTTAAGGAATAAACGATGAACTGCGTGTGATAAACATATACCGGGTTGTTCTCTAAAGTAAGAATTCAAAGTGAACTTCAAATTTAAGGTCAGGGCACCCATACTGAAAGCATAGCTGACTTAATTTTCCCTAGTTTGGCTATTTTGAACTTAAATTTGAAATTCACTTTAAATTCTACCTTAGCGAATAATTCTGATAGATGTAATATAGATGGAGACAGACAGAGAGAAACACTGCAAATTGCTAATTAACTAGCTCGCTGCTACAGTGTGGCATTCATCTGGCAGACACTAAAGGGGGGGGTGGGGTGCGTTTGCATAACAATTGTCAGAAAAAACTTTTGGAACAGAGTTTAAGCACCGTACTGACCGTATTTTCAGGCTTGATTTGAAGTCGGTCACATTTTCATCCATGCTAAAGGGAATTAATAAAATAATGTAACAAGGGATAAGGCAACGTGATCACGTAATGCTTGATACTATCGACTGTTGGGATGTGTGAATTTAAAGGTTGCCAAGGGACTCGTCTCACAAATGGCCGAGCAACAATTTGTGCCACCTCGCTCTGCCATTTGTGACAATATCAGTAATATTATCGTCTGCCAATAAGAGGTGCACAGTGTCACCCTGCAGATACGCAGTAATATTCAAATTATTTGAGCATTAGGCGGACGCCAAATCCAATTTTTTTGTACGCCATACCAGTTTGCGTAAAGTCATCCCAGCTCTGGATCACACAAATAAATTGTAATGAAGATAGAGAGGTGATGGTCTAATATTGCCACAGATGGATGGACACAATAAGTAGACTTTGAAAGAGAGAGGGCAGGGAACAGATGGAGGTGGGAGATGCCCGGTGTGGAGAAAGAGGGCCACGGAAAGAGGTCTAGATGTAATTAGATTGGATGGGATTATGGCAGACTCGATTAGTGCCTTATTATGATAGGAGACTGCTGTCACAATTTGGCTAGCAGGCCACAGACAAAGACAGTCAGGGGGTGAGAGAGCAAATCTTATGCAAGGAAACTGGAGAAAAACAAAGACTGCATGAGGATGGGGAGTCCTCTTAAAATCTGTCATCGAAGGCAGTGACAGATTGTCTGGTTATCGAGCACGGGGACCTTCTGTCACCTAATGCATACAAAACCTGGACTCAGTAAAGCAACTGAGGGAGGATTTAAGGGGGGGGGGAGGAGAGAGAGGGAGAGGGGTAGCAGGCTCTGAACCGTCTGTCATCAATACACGTCCATTGCAAATCCAGAGAAGTGCAAGAGGAGAGAGATTTTACACAATAAGTTGGGAGGTGATTTACCAAAGCCAACAAGCAAAATCTATATAGATTAGCAGTGCCATTTAAAAAGAGCCTACAATTTACGAGGATATATCTGAATAAATTGATTAGCTCTTTCCATTCAGCAAGTGCTATTGATTTATGACAAATGTTATATTTAAAAATATGTAAGTAAAATGCTAAATATTTTTCTTTTTATCCGACTTTCTTATTTTTGTTTTATCCCCGTAAAAAATATAAAAATAAATAAATATATATATATATATATAATTTAATAATCAATAGTATTGTGGTGGTGAAATCCATGATAATGCCCGTCACCATTTTGTACACAAGAACCATTGGTTAAACATCTGGCCTTTTTGTTAAACCAGAAGTACACCAGTGCATATGTTATAATTCCTTTAAAAGACATTTTTTGGAGTTCACAAATAATTGCTCTGTTAAAAAAAATGTATAGCATTGAACTCTTTGATTGCTACATCATTTGACCCACGCAATCCATAAAAAAGTATATACATTTCGGGAACAATTGTCTTGATTTTTTTTTTGCGCTAACGTGTCTAACCTGTTGAATGATAACAAGGACAATTACATTTGCTATAATTGTGCCGTCACCCCATTTATTTATCTCTTCTCCTCGTTTATACCTCCCCCTTTGGACATCCGTCAAAGATCATTTATGCTAACAAATACATAGATCTAGAGAGATAAATATTTTGTTGGCTGAATGCATCTTGGGATATCGCCATTCTGGCGCAGATGCCGCTTAATTATTTTCTTTTTAAGCGAGTAGAATTACTTTATGTAGCAAAGACAAAACATTTTTTTTTCTACACTTGCTTCGGATGAGCCTGCATGCTCTTGATATGCTCTGTTAAAATAAGAATTGTACGCTCACAATAAGGGATATGACAATAGAGACAGGCTATATATTAAATGAGTATCCCTCAAACTCTGGATGTGTACCCCTAGGGTTACCTCTGAAGTGGCCAGATAGTGCTTTAGATTCATTTCATAAATGGATGAAAAGATACAGGCACTTGTACTACTACTGAATTAAATGTTAAGACACACAGACCGAAAAGACAAACTGACGGGCTGTACATGGGATGGAGATAGAAAGGGTTTAAAGTGTGATAGGCAACCAAACAGAGACCGTAAGGATGGAGAGTTTAATGCAAGCTCGGAGAGACAGTCAGCAGGAAGGAGAGCATGGAGAAGTGGCAAGGACAAACGGTGGATAATGTGATAGACAGACATGGTAGAGACAGTGACAGATGGACATATAGATGGGCAGAATGCAGGGGCAAGACTCAGAATAAATGCTAGAGAGATTTTAAGAGAGTCTAATTAGTTAGGATGAATCCTCCCTCTTTCTTCTGCAAGAGTGCGTCTTAGATGTATGGTAAACAAACGTCTAGCAGGAAGGACACATGAAGATTAGGTTGGGCAAGAATAGAGGTCTGTTAAAAGAAAAGAGAACGTAAAACTGTGTCAACTGTCTAACCAACTGTAGGTAAATGGTGGGGATGCAGACATGAGAGGTATCTTGAACGAACATTATGGTGGAAGACAATCTTGCAAGTGTGCCTTTAAATATGACATTCCAACAGGTCAGGCTGAACACAGGCTTAGCAATGATAAACACAGGGATTTTGGTAAAACAAAAAAAACGAATTCAGAGCTCAAACTAATCTTTATCTTTAATAGACAGACATGGTGCCCTTTGACCAGCGGTTCTGGGTTTAAAGATTTGTAATTGAGTACGCATATATTCCAATGCTTTGAAATGGAAAATCACTTGGTGTTAAGTAGTGCCCAGGATTTATCTACACTGAATAAAATTATAAACGCAACACTTTTGTTTTGCCCCCATTTTTCATGAGCTGAACTCAAAGATCTACGTACACAAAAGCCCTATTTCTCTCAAATATTGTTCACAAATCTGTCTAAATCTGTCTAAATCTGTGTTAGTGAGCACTTCTCCTTTGCCGAGATACTCCATCCACCTCACAGGTGTGGCATATCAAGATGGTGATTAGGCAGCATGATTATTGCACATGTGTGCCTTAGGCTGGCCACAATTAAAGGCCACTCTAAAATGTGCAGTTTTATCACACAGCACAATGCCACAGATGTCGCAAGTTTTAAAGCGGAGCGTGCAGTTGGCATGCTGACTGCAGGAATGTCCACAAGAGCTGTTGCCTGTGAATTGAATGTTCATTTCTCCACCATAAGCCGTCTCCAAAGGTGTTTCAGAGAATTTGGCAGTACATCCAACCGGCCTCACAACCGCAGACCACATGTAACCATACCAGCCCAGGACCTCCACATCCAGCATCTTCACCTCCAAGATCGTCTGAGACTAGCCACCCAGCTGCTGTAACAATCGGTTTGCATAACCAAAGAATTTCTGCACAAACTGTCAGAAAAAGGGAAGCTCATCTGCATGATCGTCGTCCTCATCAGGGTCTTGACCTGACTGCAGTTCGTCATTGTAACCGACTTGAGTAGGCAAATGCTCAGATTCGATGGCGTCTGGCACTTTGGAGAGGTGTTCTCTTCATGGATGAATCC